GACAAATCGCCCCGGAGGCAGGAGGAGGAGGGGGAGGCGCAGCCGGGCCTCCCCCTCCCCGGCCCCAAATGAGGTGCGCCTGGTTGGGGAGTGGGGGGGCAGAGAATTGGAGGTGGGGGGGAGAGAAGGAAATCCGAGGATGGAGAGGAGGAGAGGAGGGGCAGAGGGGAGCCTTCGCTCCTCGTCCAGCCCCGGCCCCGGCCCTCCCCGGAGGGAGGGGCTCACGGCATCCAGCGGGGAGGCGCGGACAGGCTGGCCGGCCCCGGCGGCAGCAGCAGCCGCCGCTGCAGGATCAGCGGTCCTCAGAGCCGGCGGCTGGGCTGGAGCCGCGGCGGCCGCAACAGGCAAGCTTAAAGGAAAACGAGATGATCGTATCACTCAACTCGGCTGGGGGGGGGCGGCACCGAGCTCCCCCCCCGCCATCCTCGGGACATTCGCTCCTTAGCTGCTCCACAAGGGGGAGGGGGATGAGCCTCTTCCCGGCCCCCTCCCCTCTACTCCTCGCCCCCCACCGGGTGCAAGCTCCGTCTCCCCTTCCCGCCCCTATCCCAAGATTGCATGCACCCCCCCACCCCCTCCTCCCCGCAGCCGCCGCCGCCGCCGCCGCAGCCGCTGCCGCCTTCCGCGCCCGCCCTGCCCCGGTCCCTCTGCCCCAGCTGCTCGCCCCGCTCACCCCTCCCGGGAGACCGCGGCTCTTCACTTTGCTGCCCCTACCACCCAGTCCCTGGGTCAGGCCTGGCCGGGGCCCACGCACCCTCCTTCTCCTCCAATCTCAACCCCCCCACACCCTCCTTCGCCGGGCACTCTTCTTCGCCCGCTTTTGTCTAAAGGCCTGAAATCTGTCACGGCAAGTCCGATCGCCCCACAAGATGACAGTCAAACATTCATGAAAAGCAGTTTCCGTGAGAGACTGAGAGAGGGAGGGTTAGGAGGGCGCAGGCAGAGCTCGGGGAGAGGGAGAGGGGGAAGCCCACGACCGCAGCTCCTGCCCCCTCTCACCCCCCCCCGCCCCGGCTCCTCCTCCAGGCCGCCGCCCCCCCCCACCGGCCCGAAATGGACACTTTCCCCAATTTCTTTTCCCGGCAAACTTTACTCCTACATAGGGGTTCAGGGGGTTGAGATGGGGCGACTCTAAGTTTCCTCTTAAGACTTTTACAATAAATGTCCCACCCTGCTACCCCCACTTGGACCTGCGCTCCCCTTCCCACGCCTTGGTTCCCAGTCACCGCCCCCCCCCGGGATGTTATAGCCCGCACCCCCACCCACACCCTGGGGCGACTGGTAAAGAGGGAGCTGGAAAAGATCTAAAGGCCTTGCCCCCCGCAGGGACGCTACATCCCAACCTTGTCCCTTCCTCGGGGCTCTCAGGAGAGGGGGAGGGGGTCTCCTACCGATGTCCCCTCCCTGCTTTCTACACATCTTCCACCTCCCCAGCCTCTCGGCTCCACTCCGCTGCCCTTTCCTCCCCTCACCACCAGCCCGGGGTGGGGCAGGGACAGGGTTAGAGGAAGCCGATCGATTATTGATTGGAAGATTGGGGATCGATCAGGGGCCCAAGTGGCTGCCACCTCCCCCCGGCCTGCCCGCCAGGGACGGCCACGCCAACTCTGGGAGACGCTGGGGGTGGAGGAGGAGGAGGAGGGCGAGTAGCCGGGGGAGGAGGTGGAGGAGGAGGAAGAGGAGGAGGAGGAGGCTCACTTACAGGCGGCGGGTGCGTGCGTCTGTCCGAGTTCATTTGTGCAATCCCCGGGCCCGGAGAGCGGAGCGCTGGCGGCAGCGCATCGATGCGCTGTGGGTTTGATTGCGTCTCCCTGGGTTTGCAATAATGCGCAGCCCGAAGGAGGGGACTGATTTCTGTTTCCAGTGCTTTGCGAACATGGACCGGTAGCTATGGCCAAGCACCTTCCCGGCCTGGCCGCCAAGTGCACTTTTTCCTGGGCCCCCGCCCCCGCCCACCCCAACTGCTGCTTGCCTGTGTTTGCTTCTGCTCCTGCCTTTCTCCCCCTCTCTCCTTCAGCTTTCCCCGCGTGGGCTGGGGGAGTCACTTAATGACAGTCTCAGCAAAGCCCAGGCGTCCCTGCCTCTCCCCGGGGCGCCGCTGCCGCAGCCTCTGGGCTTCAGGCTCCGGACTCCTGATCCCAGCCCCAGTAGCAAAGCTGGGTCTGGTTGGTTGGTTGATTGGGTTGCCTTTTTTTGCTTTGTTTTGTTTTGTTTTCTTCCCTGAGTTTTTTTTTTCTTTTCTCTCTCTCTTTTTTTGTGTTTTTTTTTAAGTTCACAGGGATGATTTTTTTTTAAGTCAGGGAGTCAGTGATCTTACTTGGACGGAAAGATCAAAGCAAAAGTGCCCATTGAGTCCTTGTATTCAAGAGAAGGATCAAGACCTGGGCTCAGTCCATGTAGCTTACTATGTGCAGACGTGACCACGTTCCTCCCGTTCTTTAAAGCCGACTGGACGCTCTTTCTCCCGCGCGCCCGAGTGTTCTTTCCAAGTTGCAGGGAATGGATTCTGGAGCTCTGCTAGTAGGGCTAAGGGTTCTGGGACATTTCTCTGTCTGTGCCTGGGGTTTGGGAGCTGAAGGGAGGGTGGTTGTTCCTGCTGGGGAAATGGAAGAGGAAGGATATTTTGGATTGTCTCGCTGTTTGTTGTTTTGAAAGCGGACCTTTAGGAAGAAAAAGTATAATCTTAATCGCCCTGTCCCCAGGGGAGAAAGCTACAGTTGGGAGAAATGAAACATTTCTTGCAAACGAGAAAATGGTGAGTTGTCAGATGCTGCCTTGGCTGCCAAATTCTCTCAGCTCCCCTGTCTTTGTAACTTGCTGGTGTCTTCGAGTCAGTTACTGGAGTCGGTCGTGAGAGTAGCGGTCTACGCCGTCTTGAGAGGTTTAAGTGGAAACAGTGTCTCCAAAATCCAGTCCGTATATCAGGCTGCGTTGTTTGCACAGGGAATACTCGACTTTAACTGAATCGAGATTTTTTTAAAATCTCAATAGCTCTCCAACGCTTTCTTCTTCTTCTTCTTCTTCTTCTTCTTCTTCTTCTTCTTCTTCTTCTTCTTCTTCTTCTTCTTCTTCTTCTTCTTCTTCTCTCTCTCTCTCTCTCTCTCTCTCTCTCTCTCTCTCTCTCTCTCTCTCTCTCTCTCTCTCTCTCTCTCTCTCTCTCTCCTCCCCTATTTCTCCTCTCCTCAATCTCTTTTTTCCTCTCCTTGCCCCTCCTTCTTTCTCTGTCTGTATCTCACTTTCTCTAGGACTCACTCCTTAGCTCCCTCACTCTCTCTGACTCTCTCTGCTCTGGCTCCGCATGCCGTTAGATCCGCCCTAACATCTGTCCGTCTAACCATTAGCACATCCATCAGTGTCGCGCTGGCTGCACATCGCAGCGACAACACACCAGACACAACATGGACTGTGATTCAATACAAATAACCAGCACACCGAGCAACTTCTAACAAGAAGGAGCAAGGAATGCAATTCCACTATTTACAAATGTTAGCCATCTTCAGAAAAGCGTCCAGCCCTTGCCTTTGACACAGAACTGAACCATGCCTCTTTTTCTTACTTCCCCTCCCCCGTTAAATTGTAGGAACCCGAATAGTTTTCTCGTGAGACTAACAGCAGAGGTGGAAGGAGAGATGAGTGCTCAACTAAAGCGAGATGGATGAGCACTCGGGTTTCATTCTGTCTCTGTTTCTATGGCCAGGGTTTGTGCTTAGTGGTAGTGGTGGTGCATGGGTCGGATGGAGACAGTACCCAAATCTGCATCACTTAAAATGCATACAAGATATGCAGTAGTTTGTAGCCTGCAGTTTTGATGCGTTAAGCCAAGGTGAGAGAAGTCCTGTGCGTGGTTGAGGACACTTGGCAAAATTATTCTGGAAATCCAAAGCTAAAACTTTCCAATGTTTTTCTGCTTCTGCAAGGTCTATTAAAAAGGGAAAGGGGAAATTGACTTAAAATAAAAAAAAGACCTTGGGCTTTTTCTTTAACTCCCAACAGAATATTCTGCCTAGGATGACTTACAGTAGGAACTTATACTCTGAGCTGTAACAGAATGCTAGAAGTAAGAAGGTGTGTAAACTAATGTTGGCAATTTACATAATATTTTTAGAAGGAGGAAGGGCAGATCTTTATCGCCAAGAAGCCAGAAAATATTGTGAGTTTTCTATTAGCATCTAGCAGAAAGTGGAAGAGCCAGCGGCAAGTATAAGGCTAAGTGAGAGAATCACATTGTGAGGGTTTCCTCTCTACTTTCCCTCCATCCTTCATTCTATGCTTCCTTCTTTCTGTACGCTTCCCTTTCCCTTTCCTTCCTTCCTTCCTCCTTTCTTTTCCCTTATTTCTCATCCTTTCTCTTCATTGGCGGTACTTCTGTTACTGATCACTGAGTAAAATGTAATCGGGTTCGTTGCAGGAGCACTAGCTTCTTGTTTTGCTTGGATAGATAGTCCAAGAGGCTGGGGCTTCGGTGCAGGAAAGTCAGGGCAAATTCCCGGCTTGTTACCAAATGAAAGGACACCAAGTGCTACAACTTTTCGATTTTAGAACTGCTCATTTTATCTTACTTTCTCCCAGCTGTAAATATCTGTCCAAGGGATAGTGCATATTTCCTATCAGAGTGGACCACAAATGCTAGCTGTATCTTTGCAGTGATTAGTTTAGAGATACACGTTTTACTAGAGAACAAGAGCTGCTTTCATTCATCCTAAAATGCATCCAAGGGCTTGAAAGGAAGATGCCAGCAGATTGCAATAGGACCTCAGGCTTATGCTTCTGAGAAACGTGTAAGAAAATGCAAAGTTATGGTGGGGGCTTTAAAAATCAGGTGTAACAGCCAAGTGTTTTAAGATCAGGGAAATGAGCCAGCTACTACAGACAGAATCGCGCTAATGCGCTGCTTTGCAATCCTGTTACTCTAATGTAAAAAGTTTCAACTTTCTGAAAAATGCAACAATGAGCTTTCTCCCTTTCCTGAGACTAGCAACTTAATTGCAGTAATGGGGCATAGTGACAAGTCCCTAAGTATCCTAGCTTTGCGGGGGTTTCTTTTAAGATCCAGTTCAAAGGAAAGCCAGGCACTGCAGAGCTAGGAGAGGACAGACTAGCAAGGCAACATCTGTAAAGTCCATTGTAGTGTATTGGTGACGGTAACAAACAGTGTGCTGCAAAGCTACGTAGCAGGGAGCCAGTCTGTACTTCTAGTAAGCGCAACATTTACAGGCACAGTGTATAAAATCGATGGCTACAGAAGTAGCCACCGCCAATCCTCAGAACAGCAAAAGAAGTCCCGAGCTCGCTCTCTCTTTGCAGCTTGCAAATGGACAATTATTTGCAAGAGAACCTCTATACTTAGGCTGCCTCCCTGCCCGACGCCGACACTCAACCCCTGGGCTTTCTTATTCTTGTGGACCCTCAAAACCTTGGCTTCCAAAGCTGCCAGCAACCCAGTCTTTTAAGCTCTTCAAGAAATGTTTCCTCTTGTCACTAAAGCCAATTTCACCCACTGTGGAAGTTTACAAAGGGAAGTGGAGAGTTTGGGTGAGGACTTTAAATTAAATCAACAGAACCTCCCCTGAAATGATGGGGGACCTAGATTTGACCAAGATAGGCTGTTAGTATGGCAAACTATTCCCATTGACATTCCTACCAAGTAACACATTATGGTTGCAGCTTCTGTTTCCTAAAGGCTAGTTTAAGGTCAGTGCTGTAGCAAGCTTCTCTATCGAGCAGGGTCTGGGGTGCAGAGGGTTTGGTGACATCTGGCTGGGTAGGACCTGTTTTTCTTTGGAATTGTTGTCATTAATACTTTGCATAAGTGCCCTCACCATCCAATATGAGGCCAACAGGGTTGAGCCTCATAGTCTGGGGCCCAGGAGTAGAACTGAAGGTACCAGAACTCACCCCTGAAGAGCCAGCCAGTTTCCTGCCACCTTGAGCTGGGTCAGCAAGCACTGGCGGCCTTCTGCGCTCCAGGAGCCTGACACAATCTGACTTTGCCCTCCCTACATGCTGGGGCCTCGGAGCCTAATGCTGTCACTGTACTTGGGAACCATTGCCCCCAGTCTTGGGAAGGGCAGGTGGATGAGGAGAAAAGGAGGCCACTGTCGGGCGCCGGTTCCCTGTCCTTAACCTCTCTCCAGTCTGGGATACTTGAGGAGGGAGGACCAAGAACAGCCTGGATTCCCTGTTTAAAGATTAGATTGAGAAGAATGGCATGCAAGGTTCGTGGTGAAAGGGCAGATAGACGCCTTGCTGGCCGTCGAACCAGAGGGAGCGGTTCGGCTTTCTATCTTGCGACTTAGTTGCCGGAATGAGGGGCGGGCAGGCCGACCCTGGTGCATCTTTCCCTTGGAGGCCAGGCACACTAGGCGTGGCTAGGGATAGCACTCAGAAACCTGGAAAAGTCTTTGCTTTCCTTTCCCTGCAACAACCAACCTTATTCCGGGCCCAGTTCCCCAGCCCCTCGGCCCTTGCCCCGCCCCGCCTAGTCTCTCCGGAGCTCACCACTAAGTTCCCAAGGACGAGCAGTTGGGACCTGGGTTTGCTAGGGCCAGGCCACCTCCACGTTCCAAACTTTGGGAGTCCAGGAGCGGAAGCAAAAGAGTGGAACTGGCGGAGCCGAGATGCGGAAGGCTGCCTGAGCAGAAGGTTGAGGGGAAGGGACTAGGACCCACGAACAGTTTCTCACAGGACAAGTCAGACTAGCCAGAGTAAAAGTAAGTCATGCCCAAGGAAGCACGGGCCTCCAGGAGCAAGGTCTCCTTCCTCCCGGGCTCAGGGGGCCAGTCCTGCAAAAAAAAAGGAGCGCGGAGAACCACTCGGGCAGGACGCTACTGCCCCTGGGGAAGGGTTGGGAAGTGGGTACTGAGGGAGCACCGACACTCCCAGCGGCTCCACTCACTATGGGGTTATCCGATCCTGGCTACCCCGGCTCCCAAGCCGCGGGCCTCCCAAATCCAGAAGACACATAGTTTTTAAGACAGACGAAAAGTTTTCCCCGCTTTAGGCTCAGATCTAGCCCGAAAGTAAATTGTTTGGGTAACTGCATTTACACAGCAGCGCAGTTTGTTTTTCTTATTCCAGTAGCTTTGTTTTAACGAACCAGATGTTTTGTCTGTAAATTCTCCAAAGGACTTTTACAGTTTTGACGTGAAATAAACCTTAGAAAACCAGAGTCGTATATTAAAGCCACTTCTGCAGAACCTTCGGGATCCTCGGAAGACTGGGTCGAGTATCTGTTAGAAGAGGGAGGGAGAAAAGGGAAGGATTTCTGGGAGGCCAACCCCCGCTTCCGGGCAGCCCTCCTTCCTTCCAAAACCTAGCTTTCGGTATAGGGTGGGACTTGGGGGAAGAAGGGAAGGAACACCACTGACAACTCTGTCTTTTCAATAGCACTCGAGTGTGTTCACGTGTATGAATGCTTGTGTGTTTATAAGGATTTGTAATTCTTTAAAAATGGTTTTACCGCTTACTAGCTGTGTGACCTTGGGCAAGTCACTTCCCCTCTATGACTCTCAGTTTCCTTTTCTGCCGAAAAAGGGGATAGGACTGACTCTCCAAGGTCCCTTCTTGCACTGTCAATCTATGCTTTTGTAAAGTCCAAAAGAGAAAACTAGCACACGAACGCGCGTGAGTGAAAACAACTTTTCTGTAACCCATCAAGCTTCCCCAGCCCCAGAGTGGGTAATGTTCCGCTGCAGAAATCTACTTTTTCCGACTCTGTGCAGATCCCTAGACTGTCCCGTATCCAGAAAGGACCAGCGCTTTCTCCGTTGGGTTGGAGCCCCCAAAGGATGGAACTCATGCCCATGAAGCAGAAACCTGTCCTCTATCCCTGTGCTGCTGTCCGAGGCAGCCCCTGAAGCCCGGGGTTCTGTGCAGTACGGACTTAAGGAAAGGAAGCTAGGGATCGCGGAAGAGCGTTCCGAACCCCAGAGATTTTCTCTATCCCCGAAATACCCCACCGGCTGCGAACCCAGGAGAATGAGTGTAATGAGTGTAGGTTCTATATTTCCCCACGGTTCTCCATTTCTGTTCTCTAATCAAAAGGATTTCAGTCGTATTTTTGGTAGAAGGAGAGCAAAATCTAAAGGCAAGAACACCTGAGTCTGAGTCTGACTCTGTTATTACCCTTGTGAAAAGCCTTCCCCCCTCTTTGGGTCTCAGTTTCCCTACCTGCAAAATTAGAGGATTGTGCTAATTGATACCTTACAACTCCAATGCGCTATGATTCTGTGACTCACAAATAGTTTAATTGCAAAACCCAGAGGGATTTAAACCAACCGCAAACAAACAAAAAAACCTTTTCTTTGGCCCCCTTCTCAATTTTTTTTTTTTTGCTTCTTTCCTGGGACAGATTGTTTCTCAGCATTAGGCCTTCATAAACACAGCTCACCTACAATGCTCCCCTTCTGAAATAAGTCCTTTCCCTTGTGTGGGAAAAAGTTTATGGGATGGGTTTTTTTTTATCATATGTGTGCATATAATACATTATATAGATACATTACTTATCTCTGTATTTCAGCCTGCATGGAGCAGGTAGGCACTAAGCACTGGCACAATTATCCATACATACAAATATACATGCATACATAATTCCAGCATCTGACTCAATCATCCAAGGAATTGCTTTAAATACTCACCAATATAGTTGAGGATTTAGGAGACTACTGAGCTTAAAGGCCTTTCTCACCTCGGGACATAAATTTTCTAAAGAAACAATTGGTCAGAGCCCTAAGGCAAAGCCATTGCATTGGAACCTGAGGCAACTGCGACCTCAGACCCTAGGCGGTGGGGGGAGGGGAGAGAAGAGGATTGGACTGGCAACTACTACTACCACTCTCTCCCTCCCTCCCGGAATTCCAGTGTCAGTTTAGCTCCTTAATTCTTAGCAAACCCCTTCTCCCTTGGGCCTTGAGATAATGTAGGGAGTGGTCTGGAGTCCTGCTGTTAGCTGCAGGGTCGGGTTTGCTATCCAGCTCTGTGGTCTCTGCTCTAGGAAGTCCCACTCCAAGGGGTTGCCTTACACCGCTCTGGTTTTCCCAGAGTTCCCAAAGGAATGAGTCAGGCCTTGGACTTAAGTGACCCCTAGATTTGCAGTGCAGACATGAACTAACTAATTCTCATTCTCTTAAAATTTCTTTCCTAATGTTTTTGTCTCTTCATTCCTCTTGTTCTCTCTTCTGTTTTGTCCATTCCTCCCCTCACCTCCTTTTCTGTCTACGATTTCTCAGTTCGTTACCTCTTGCCTTTATTCTTCTTTACTTCTGCTTTTTCTTGACTTTTTTCACTTTCTTCCATGTTCTTCCTCCCCTTCCTTTTGTTTTTTTTTTTCATTCTGTTCCTCCTACTTCCCTACCAGTTTATTTCTTTATATTTAATCAAAGCTCACCTCTAAGAAGCCAAAGCCCTCAATCCTCTTTTTCCCTGGTACATAGCCCAGGGATCCCACCTGGGCTACAAAAGGAATGAGATGAGTAAGATGGTAGGAAATGAAATAGATGGGAAGGTGGGAGAACAAAGAAGTCACCACTTGGCTCAAAATAAAATAAAAATTTAAGAAAAATCAAAGCTGTCAATAAAATCCTTTAAGTAGTTAGTGACTCAGTGTTGGGAGTTTAGGTGATGGCATTGGTAAATGGCTTCGTTGCCAAACGAAAATATTACAGATGCTGCTGTCTCTACTACCAATCAGGCCCAGCTTTGCAAAGCTAGATGAGCCCCCTTCTCCTGTGCAGAGGGCAAAGCTATTTGCATGATAAATGGATCATTCTGGAGGTACCCAATGAAATATTCAAATGAGGCCAAGGAGATGGGGTAGAGAGAAGGATCCCCAGTGTCCTCCCCTATTCCTGCCAAAGAAAGGGGAGCACACAGCTCAAGTCTGCTCTCTAAAGCTGGAGTCACCGTCTATCAGTTAACCTGGGGTTTTCAACTTGTTACTACCAGGTTTTTTTTAATTATTTGTTACTGTATCTTACTTGCCTTCTTTCTGGGACTTTGATGACATCCCTCAACACTTCATTGCCTTCTTTCTCTATACTAGCTAGGAAACTTCAAATCTTGGCTTTGTATCTTCACATGGAAAGGGCTTTGATCTAATCCAAGTGGTAGGAGCCTACATAGTTGTACTGCCTGGGTCTTGGAGGTGTTCCTTTGTGAAAGGTACTGGGACCCTAGACTGGTCTACAAGCCTATGAGCCTCAGTTCTTGGGACTCCACTCATCATTCCCTAGATCTCTGAACTCAGGTACGGTAACCTCAATTATGAAGATCCGAGTGTTGTTAGGGAGAGAACATGAAGACAGCTCCAATTGTTTGGTATAGTCAGTCAAGCTGGAGGATATCCAGAGGTCTCTGGATAGCACCCACAGAATAAAGACTTCAACCTAGGGAGAGTAAGGCAAATGGAGAAACCTTGTGTTCAGAAACACAGCTCCATCTCAGCATGTGTCCAGGTGAGCATAGAGATGCAGAAGGACTGCACACACACACACACACACACACACGTCCATATGCATTAGAGGTTAGCAGGAATGGACAATTGTTTCCAAAAGTGCCCTCACAACTACCCTGAATGACAAGGGTACCCAGGGTTACTCCAGGACACAGCTTCTTTTGAAATCATGGACCACTCCCCATTATTGAGGCAAAGGGTCAGAGAAAACTTAAGTTTCCTAATTTTTTTTGGGGGGGGGTTGGGGTTTATTTGGTTTTTAGGCCCAGATTGGGTGGGGAAAAGATTGATGAAAGGAGAAAAGTAGTAAGGAGAGGAGGATAAAGACAGAAATGGAGTTGGGGCTAACATCTGTCCCCCTTTCCTGCTTTAGACAGCTGGATCCATGTAATTCAGAACTGACCAATCCACTCTTCTGCTCAAAACCCTTTACTACTTCTCCATTGCCTCCAGGATGAAATGCAATCTCCAGGGCCCGCCATCTAAAATCTTTGTTACTCTCCTTTATGAATCTTCACATTCCAATCAAAATAGATTACTAGCTATTCCCAGGACTGGAGATTGCATCTCCCACTCTAAATCCACACAGACTGTGTTCCATTCCTGGAGCCCAGTATCTCTCTGGATCTTGGCTCAGGTCAAATGCTATCAACTCCTCAGTCTTCTTTGACCCTTCCTCCCAAAATTGTTAATGTTTTCTCAGATTACCTTATTTATGAATAATTTGTGCACCCGGCACTCCAATAGAGTTTAAGCTCCATGAAGGCAGGGAATGTTATGTTTGTGTTTTAAACTTTATAGGAACTTAGTAAATGTTTAGTTGAATGAAATTATAATCCAGAGAGGAGAGTGACAGTGTCATCATCATAATCATCAATGTTGCTGACTAACATTTATGTAGTATGTTAAGGTTTTAAAGTGCTTTACATCTATTATCTTATTTGATCTTTACAATGATCCTGTGAGGCATATACTGTTACTATTCCCATTCTACAAATTGGGAAATTGAGGCTCTGAATGACTTTACCATGAATCCACAGGTATACAGGGCAGACATTGGAAACCAGGGCTTCTTACTCCAAGACTTTCCACTATATAAGGCTAAGTTTCTCTCAAGTTCTCTCAATCCAACTAGGTTTACCTGGGACATAATTCCTTCCTGTCAAGTCCCAAGTCACAAACTAAAGAGAAGCCAAAGCCCAGTTTAGGACTGGGCCAAGAAAAGATAAGCTAAGCTACCAGCAAGATCCCTGCACTTTT